AACTTTTAAAAGATTTTTCTGTTATACTCATGTTTGCTATTAAAAGCAAGCAAACAAAAAACAAAAACCACTGTAGTGGGTTTACATGTCAAGGCTTTGGAAGCGGGAGGCTGCAGGTATGCCTTCTATGAGAAGAATCCAGAAGCTGTCCCATAAGACCCAGCTACTGGCCAGAGACAAGCCAATAAGCGATGTTGTATGTGCCTCTCTGAGAGCAGAATTAAGAAGGTGGGGGGAAATGGCTAAGGAACAGCAGCTGGGAGAGAGAGACAAGCAAGAAACAGCCTTGCAGGTGCCAAAGTCAGGAGGGCAGGAGGCACACAGCAGCAGTTCCAATATGGACTGTGGAGAGGCCCCTGGTGGAGCAGGCTGTCCCCCTGCAGCCCATGGGTCTCCCACATATTCTTCCACATATTTCCTGTATACAGAACTACAACTCCTCTGCTCTCCGCTTAGGAGTTTCTGTCACCTGCTTAGGAAGCAGAAGCAGTAACATGGGATTTAGAGGATCCAGCTGAAGCGTCAGTGCCAGTTAGAGGAAACCATCAATGTACGGGGTTTGAAGAGAGTTTGACCAGTGTTCCAAGGAACATGTACTAGTGCTGCCTATATACGTCTGTAAATATCTCTACAGCTGGCTTGTATCAGACATAGAGTGGCCATCAGGACTAGGGAAGCGGTTGTCCCTCTGTGCTCGGCTCTGGTGAGGCCGCACCTCGAGCACTGTGTTCAGCGAAGACCTCGAGGTGCTGGAGCGTGTGCGGAGAAGGGCTCTGAAGCTTGTGAAGGGTTTAGAGAACAAGTCTGGTGAGGAGCGGCTGAGGGAGCTGGGCTTGTTCAGCCTGGAGAAAAGGAGGCTCAGGGGAGACCTTCCTGTGCTCTCCAGGAAGCTGAAAGGAGGCTCCAGAGAGGTGGGGATCGTTCTCTTCTCCCAAGCCCCAAGTGACAAGACAAGAACAAAAAACCTCAAGTTGTAGCAGGGGAGGTTTCAGTTGGTTATCATGAAAAATTTCTTCACCGAAAGACTTGCTCTGGTGGGTTTACGTGGCAAGGTTTTGGTAGCAGGGGGACTGCAGGGGTGGCTTCCGTGAGAAGAATCTAGAAGCTGCCCCCCGTTAGATAACGGCTCCACTGCTGGCCAGAGCCAAGCCAGGAAACGATGTCGCTTGTTCCTCTGTGAGAGCGTATTTAAGAAAGGAGAAAAAAAATAACAAAAAAAAGCTGCTTCACAGGGAGAAAGAGAGGAGAAGCAGCCCTGCAGCCCCCCAGGGGAGTGCAGCAGGAGGCAGGGGTTGCTCCAGGCAGGCAGCAGCAGTTCCCCTGCGGGCTGTGCAGGGAGAGGCCCCCAGTGGAGCAGGCTGTCCCCCTGCAGCCCATGGGTCCCCCATGGAGCAGATCTCCACGCTGCAGCCCCCCCGTGGGTGGAGGAGCCCCCGGTGGAGCAGGTGGATGTGGCCTGGAGGAGGCTGCGGCCCATGGAGAGCCCCCGCAGGAGCAGGGGGTCTGGGGGGAGCTGCCGCCCAGCCGTGGGGGACCCGTGCTGGAGCAGTTTGCTCCTGGGGGATGGATGGATGGACCCCGTGGGACGGAGCCGTGTGGGAGCAGTTCCTGAAGAACTGCTGCCTGTGGGCAGCCCGTGTGGGATCTGCTGGGGAAGGACGGCATCCCGTGGGAGGGACCCCATGGGGAGCAGGGGCAGAGAGTAACCGAGAAGGAGCGATGAAGATGAAATGCTATAGTCTGACTGCAACCTCCATTCCTCTGTTCCACTTGGGTGAAGGAGGTGGAAGAGGGTGGATTGGGGGAGGTGGTTTTGGTTTCTTTCCTTTGTTTTTCACTTATCTTGTTAGTAATAGGCAATCAATTTTACTATCTCCCTACTTGGAGTCTCTGTTGTCTGTCATGATAATTGTTGAGCGATTGCTCTGTCCATATCTCAACCCCTGAGCCCTTTTCATTGTATTTTCTGCCCCATTCCCTTTGAGGAGGGGAAGTGAGGGAGTGTCGGCTATGGCAGAGCTCTGCTTCTTCCTACCCAAGTAAAACCACCGCAAGCATTAAGAAATTCCTGTAAGATTTTAATTAGTTTCTATGTGTCTACCTCCTTACCTGTCTCTTGTAAAAACCTCTCCAAATCAGTAAATCTGTTAACAGATAGCTATTCCAATTTTTCATACATTGTCAAGAAAAAAGTGGTAGAATGCACAGTGATAGATATGGTGGAAACTGTTCTCCAGTCCTTTTATATGTCTGTCACTCCTCTCTAAATCAAAGAGCAGGAAGGGGTCTTTTTCGGACAGCTCCTTGGCAATCACATTTTGAGTGTTCATTAGTCCCCTCAAGGAGGTGATTGTTGGTAAATTTCACCCATTCTCTCCATTTCATCCATTCTCTCTCGTACTGCATAATGTACGATAGTAACTGATAGTGCTTAAGCCCATTTTCTTAAGAAAAGTGATATAGTTACGGAAATAAGATAAACTGTATTTTGAGGTTGACAGAGCTTTGTAAATTGAATGATCTATTAGCAGTGAGAAAATTTCTAACCCATTTCAGTGAAATAGATGTCCATCATAAATACAGAGAGAATCAGAAAAGACGGACTTAGTCTGATAGTTATGATGCTTCTTGCATTACTCTAATCATAGCAAGAGTAGGTTTTCAGCGATCAGAAGACAGTGGGGCAAGGGGTCAGATATGTAAAGTGTTTTTTCTTTGTTTGTTTTTTTATTGTTTGTGTCTGCTTTGACTGTGACCTGACACGTAGGAAATAGTATAGCATTAGTAACAAAAATAAGAACTGAGAAGGTAGCAATTTAGTTTCTGTCTTCTACAAAGAACATGGAAAACTCCAAGACTGTTTAATAGCCACAGTTTCTCTCTGTATTACTCAAAACTTTCATCCCTCATTAGAAATAAAGTCTTTGGAAATCCTATTTTGACTAGAGATTTCAGTAAGTGCTGCTATTCAACCTAGGTATTATGTGATTATTCATTGCAGTTGAGCCTTCAGCTGAGTTAAATGAAGTGCACTTAAATGTTCCCTCTTCCCCTGTCATTAACTGCTCCATGGCAGCCTCTAGTTAGGTCCTATAGATCAATGTTTCTCAAACTGGGCTGTAAAAGAACTCAAAGGGGATTGCCAACTGTTAGACAGCAACAGTCAGCAGCAGTTCAGTTCCCTAAGTCTGCAGTAGATCTTTTTTCCAGGAGTGGAAAATGAGAAAAACATTAAATACTGACTGCAGGTATTTATTCTACCAACAGAACTCTTAACTACCTTTAGCTGCTAGCAGTGTCTCCTTCCCTTCAGCATAGGCAGTGCATAGTAAGTCTCTCACTCCTTGTCCTAGGAGAACTTATCTATTACAAACCTGTTATTTCAATTATATTGAAACAGCTGAGCAAACTTTAGACACTTGACATATTGTAGTGAGAGTGGATGGAAGTATTAAAAGGTTTTGGAAACACTCTGTCCTTCATATTTCCCCTGGACAATGTCCAACTCCACAATTTTGCCTACTTTACTCACTAGCACCACACAGATGTGTCAGGACATATCAGATGCCTTCCTGTTCCTATTTCAGAGCATGGCACTCCCTGAAGTGTCAGGGAGGCTAAGTCTTTCCATGTCCTGGGTTACAAGGGGGGATGGGGAACATGTTGTGGAGTGGTCAGATCAGTGCTGACATACCTCAGCACAATGGGCAGGGGAAAATTATTCCTCCAATCCATGTCTTAGGCTCATCTTTGACTCTGATGTCTCAACAGGAGGGAGGAGAGAAATCAATATCTACCCAGGTTGTCCTGAGTCAGGGCAATCCCCAATATCAGTATAGACTGGGTGATGAATTGATTGCAAAAAGCCCTGCAGAGATGGACTTGGGGATACCAGTGGATGAAGAATGTGGATATCCTTCAGCAATGTGTACCTACAACCCAGAAAGCCAATCATATCCTGGGCTGCATAAAAGGAATTGTGGTCAGCAAGCTGAGGGAGGTGATTGTCTCTCTCTGCTTCACTCTCATAAGCACTCACTTGCAGTACCACAACAAGCTCTAGAGGCCCCAGTACAAAAAAATAATAATAATAATAATAAAATAAATTAATTAAATCAGACCCAGAGAAGGGCTACAAGAATTATCAGAGGGCTGGAGCACCTCTGCTATGAAGAATAAAAGAGTTGGGGTTGTTTAACCTTGTCATGGTTTTGGTTGGGACAAAGTAAATTTTCTTCTTAGAGGTTCACTCAGTGCTGTGTGTTGGATTTTTTTTTTTTTTTTTAATGAAAATAGTGGTGATAACACATTGATGTTTTTAGTTTTTGCAGAGCAGAATTTATATAGAACCAAGGAATATTTTTTACTTCTTATACTGCCCTGCCAGCGAGGATGCTGGGGGTGCACAAGAAAGTTGGGAGGGAACACGGACAGGACAGCTGGCTCAGCCTGGCCAAAGGGATGTCCTATATTATATGACATCATGCTGAACAACAAACTGGGAGAGTTTGCCAGGGAGTTTAGGCTGCTACCTGGGGTCTGTCTTGGCATCATTCAGCCGGTGGTGAGCAGTTGCATTATACTTGCTTTGTATTTCCATTTATAATTTTAATTATTATTCTCCTTTCTTTTTCTGTCCTACTACACTGTCTTTGTCAAGGAAAAAGAAAAAAGAAGTGGAGAAAAAGAAGAAACACTATCATGGTGTAGCTCCAGCAGGCAGCTCAGCACTATCTATAGCTGCTCACTCACTCTACACAGGTGGGATGGGGGAAAGAATTAGTAAGAGTGCAAGAACACATGGGTTGAGATAAAGACTATTTACACTAGGTAAAGCGATAGCCACATGTGCACGCAAAGTAAAACAAATAATTCATTTGCTACTTCCCATGGGCAGGCAGGTGTTCAGCCACTTCCAGGAAAACAGGGCTCACCATGCGTAACGGTTTATTGGGAACACAACCACTTATCACTCCAAATGTCACCCCTTCCTTCTTTACCTCAGCTTTTATAGCTGAGCATAATGTCATCTGAGCAGTGACTAATGGAGACTGCACTGCATCTGTGGCACAGAGCTCCATAGAGTGGGTGTGAAAAGCTTTCAGATGAGGAGGATCACTTCCAAGCCCTCACCTGGGACCTGGTATTCTCCATTATCTTCAAGGTATGGCAGTTAAAGGGTAGAGGGCAGTGGCTTTTCCCCATCTACTGCATATTCTGTGACTACTTTTGACTACTGTAACTACTTATGACTACTTAAAAGCAGTCCTTTTACCTCCCAGGGCTGCTAGTCTGCTGTCCTTGTAGACCAGGGACTCTCTGGGCAGTCTTTAAACAGTCTGTAGAGTTCAGGGCTCTGCACTGTATTGGATGAAAGATAGTAACCTTCTTCTCAGGAAATACAGGGCAATTTTCAGAGTGCAGATCAGCAAATGGGAGATGCTGCTTATCTCCTGCACCAGGATTTACAATCCATTAATAGTTTAGTAATAGGTTAGCTTCTGGGTATTCCCTTTAGAGCATTCAGCAGTCACCTCCCTTCACCTTATTCCCTGACCCACAATGTGGCTTGGGGCTTTTGCCTCATCCAGACACTGATTTTCCTCTTTCCTTTTTCTTTCTTATTCCCAGTTTTCAAAGCACATCTTCCCTTCACAACTGCCTTTGTTTCAGCATCCCTGTAACAGACCTCCATGCCTCACAGAGCACTGCTTAACAAGATGGTATTAGTGTCAGGACCCCCTTTCTTCTTTCACACTTGACAGTGAGTTCAGTCCACAGTCTTAATCACTTGTCAATAACTACACTGACATCTTTGGGGAGGGAAGTAGTGTTTTGTACAGCTTCCACAGGAAGTTTCCAGACTGAGGCAACTAGCTGCTCATTCTTCTGTCTAGAAATTAACCCCTCAGTTGAGGTTTTCCTCTCCTCCTTTCCCCCAACCACACTCACCTGTCATATTAGCCTGCAGCTTTAAGCAGGTACCAGGAAACAGTGCTAGAGGCATGTCTTTATCCATTCAGTTTTGGACCAGGATACATCCATAACACAACAAACTTGAATTTTAGAACTGCAGCTTGTAACACTCAAAATGAGACACAAGGTGAAACCAGCACAATCAGCAAGAAGAAAAAGGATACAAGAGGCAGTATAGCCAACAAGATAAATAATCTGCTGGGACTAACAGAAAAAGGTGGAGGGAGATGGTCCTTTATCACTGTTCCTGAAAGAAGCCACCTGTGGGTTGAGCACAGTGTGTTCTCATTAGAAAGCAAGTACAGTGAGAGCAGGACACCTGCTTCACTGTTGTCTGGAACCAGATCATTTCTCCTCTGCCAAGACCAAGACCTGAAACAGTATGGGGCAGCTGGGGACAGCCTAGAGATTTGAATCAAGCTAGTTCCAGGCAAAGTTGCTAGGTTAGACACAGAGCACTAACAGGGTAGCAAAAAAAACAATAAATCATGAGCACTAGTATAGTCTGCCAGAGCTGAGTTTTGCACTCAGCTATTCTTTAGGCTCCAAGCCTCAATGTGCCTGGCCAACAGCTTGCAATTGCTTAACCTTTGATGCCCATCAGTCATTGCACTCAGATGTTGTAGGTAGCAGCTAAGCCAGGGGAAGAAGGTGCTAGTATCATCATGATATGGCTTTCCTAACATTAAAGCAAAAGGAAGCGAGAACCAGCATTAGGGATTTATGAATGTTAGCTTCACCCTATCCAGGGAGTTGATTAATGCCGTAATTATCTCAACACAGCATGATTCTTCTAGGATTCTCCCTCCTGCAGCTGAATAGCTTTCACAGTATTTCAAGGTTTCCTGTTTATCGCTGTAATTTAAAGTTATATTTTTCTTTCTGTTAAGGGTGAGGGCAAAAACTTAAAACGCATGCTTAATACAAAGGCTTCAAAAGAGGCTCTCTGTATATGGTCCATAGTTATTCTAATTGTTTTACAGCTGAGGCCCAAGATGGATAACGGAGGGTTTCTTTTGTTTCGTTATGTTTTCTGAAGTGCCCGTATTATTTTTTCACCTCCTTCAAGAATCAGGTGGGTTTTCCTTCCAAGACATCTCACCAGTTTGATTATAGACATTAGCTTTCAAGCTCAAAGATTTGAACAGTTCCTTTTACATCAGCAGTGTAATCATGCACCAAAAGGATTTGGCAAACATGGGAAATGGCCTGTCTGGGCCTTATAATTTATTCATATTGTCATGTATGGTATTTCATTCTTGTATTTTCTAGTTTCTCCATACACGTTATTGTTTCCACATAGCAAAGCCTTTTTTTTTCCTTCCCCCCCCCCCAAAGTTTTCATTGCATGTTTTGGAATGGGGTACAAACATTTGTTAATGGAAAACACAGTCTTAAAGCAAAGGAATTACCAGTTATTACACCTGTAATCACCAACTGTGTGCATACAGGAGTATGAAAATACCTGACTTCACTCTTTAAGGTGGGTAGATTATTATGTTTTTGTTTCTTTTAAGAAACACTGATGTAGGGATATCAGCAGTATTTTTTGGTTCACTTAGGATGAAATAACATAATAGTCTAGAGATCAAATTTTCCTCTCTTGTAGATGATGTACAATCTGGAGGAGAACTAAATGTGCCTTTCATGTGTCCATACTGGTTGCTCCATTATGTTTCCTGCAAGCAGCTAAAGCAAACACAAAATTATTGAAATACTTATTCAGTTTTTCAGCTGATTTAATAGTGTTCGCTGAAGCTTTTTTCCACTTTGAAATATAATCCCAAAGCATCTCTCCAATTTAAAAAGACCAGACTTTTTTTTTTTTTCTTATGAAAAGGTGCCAAATTCTTCATCCTGAGTTATTTTGCACATGTTTTGTTCTGAAATGTGGCTTGATAGAGTACAATAATCACATTTAGAATCACATTTAGGACTACTAATCACTTTAGGATTATTAACTAATCATTGCCAATCACTGACGCTTGTTTTGATGGTGTCTTCAGCATTACAGTTTTTTAAATGTTTGTCTATGGCAAATATTGACCCTACCCTTGACTCTAACTTTCTGACAGCAGACTGATTGGAGGAACCCAGAAAAGTATAAAGGCAGCTTGAAAAGCTGGATGGGGGATACTCAAATGTCTGAATGGCCAAAGATATCTGGTCACTGTACCTTCTCTTTCAGCTAGTTCTTAGAGGCACCCTGAATACTCAAAACCAATTCTGTGTTTGGATTTAACCCCTCAACAGTTTGCCCTATAAATCATAAGCAGGATTCTCACTGAAGCAGGAGACAGTTTCTTCTAACACAGCTTCAGTTTCGCTGAGTTTTTTTTCCTTCTGACTACTCCTTCATTTTCTATCCCCCAAGTTGTTTTTTTTTACATTTCTCAGTGTGGCACTCTTGATTAAGAGCTCCCCTGTGAATCTAGCACAGAACCAGCCTCTCTTTTTCCCTTTGAATAAGCCTAAGATTATTCATAAAAAGGACTATCTGCATTTTACATCATAACCAGCAATAATTAAAACATGTAGAATTCATTCTTATATAATTGGTATGCTTACAGTGCTACAGAAGCTGCAGTGCAGTTCGATCCTATGATCATTCCTGTCTATCCTTGACCATAGCTATGAAATAGAACTGCCATTTATGTGCAATCGTATGCAAAACAGTAAGAGGAAAAAGATCACAGTTTTAGCTCCAGCAATATCATGGCCGTCATTAATAATGATGCAAGAGTTTCCATTCAACTACATTGAAATTCTACTGAAAAGAATATGATGATGAAATTTAGAAAAAGCAAGGACGAATATTGATTGAAGCAAACAGATTCAAACCAAAGTCATCCTGGAAAGGACAAAGATGTGCTTAACAAAGAACATTTCACTACATAAAACCCTTTCAAAAGACTGGTAACTGAAAGCAACGACACTGAAAACATCTTTAGCAGACCATCAGACTGAGAATACAAAAGGCTAAGGGAGCAGACACTGACCTAAAATTGCAAAGTTAATGGCTTAGCTACAAGATCGGGAGATGGTGAACATTGACTGTTGTGTTGCTGTTTAGGAAAAAAAAAAAACTTTTTTTTAAACCTTTGCTTTTTGATAAGTTTTCCCATTTTGTAAGCTCTACAAGTTCTGTGTTTTTAGTTAGGCTGTATTTATGATCTCCCAAATCTCCCTAGCTCCTGGCTCTTTCAGGTTATGAAATGTAGTTCTTTGTTTCCTCATGCTGCAAATTCTCTATACTTCACCTTACTGTCAAATAAAGAGGTCTTTGCAACCCACAATAACATCTTTTTTTCTTAGCATGGCATCAGGTAGTACAGGCCATAGACTTGAAAGTGGTATGGGGTGAATATGGTCATAAGACTGCTGTGCTTGGGACTGAGCTAGAAGAGACAACCATGGTACAGCATTAGCCAAACTGCTAAATGGAAATATTCTTTGGCACGTGACTGGGAATTGTTTTGGAGCATTCAGTTGCATCAAACAGGCCAAGCATTTTTCTAACAATTTAACATATAGACAATTGTATTTCTAATACCTTGTAACTGGACACTGTTAAGTTAAGAGGAGCCTGAGGTAGTAAATTATATGTAATTTTCTCTGAATATTTGATATTCTTTGTTACTGTAACATGATGGTGACTAGTGAGACAAATCATATGGTATCACGTATTAAATATATTGTCACCTGCTAAAAACAATAATTACATGTTGTTTTGAATTTAAAATATGTTTTTATGAATATCCATCATACTAGTGAATACCTTGGATATTACTCTCCTCTCTTGTGTTAAAGGCTCATAATAATTTTATCAGTAATTTGTTATTTCAAAGCCTTGTTTAGTATAGGCATTGTATAAGGTCCCAAGCATGATGTTTCTGCATACAGACTGCTGCAGAATATCTTCATCATATCAAGAAAGCCATGAGAAATTTTACACAGAATAAGATGAGAATTCTGCCTCACCTCAACAGTTTGGTCATCAGAAATTAAACCTTAATTCAACAAAAAATGTGTGTAGGTAGACTTTTTTACATCTTAGTAGGACTTCTGACATTATTAAAGTTTAGGATTATGCATGAGTACATTGTTGAAGGAGGTCCACAAGGGCTGAGATAGGACTTCATTGCTTATCTACCTTTATATGTACAAATATTGTAGACTATTCATGATTCGTTTGCCCCATTTAACAAGAGAGGTTAAATTCCCAGACTACAGATATTTTGTTTTGATGTAAAACACACTTTACACCTGAGAACACCTGAGATCCTGCAATAATTAAAACATGTATCAAATATATAAACACCTTTTTACTTTTTTTTTTTTTCCACTCTAAATGCCTGAATTGGTTAAACAATGTTTCTGTGCTTTAATTAGACAGTAGAAATCTGAGGCTGCCTTCATTTGGCTTTCAGCTGTTTACTTTGTGTCAGTATAATCCATACAGTTTAAAGGAGATCTCAACTATAATTAAAAGTGCTATTGAGCTAAACACAATTACCAATGTTTATCTCATTATGTAATGCTTCTGGCACAAAAAGCAGAATTCAAACTTGTTTTCTTTTTTGGTACTGTTTTGCAGAGCTTGAAACAATGCCGGTAATTCAATCAGGTAATGACAATTACTGCTGTCAATCCCTGAGAAAACTCGGTACTACTTAAGTTCATATGTTTCAGCTAAACTCTAGCTATTATGGCATATTGAATTCTAAAATGTACAGAACTGTGAAAGAGAAGCCACTGGTATTTTTTCTCAATACATCTTCCACTAGAAATTGACTTGTATTTTTATTTATTTGTACACAAAAACAGTCAATTTTCTGTCTGCTAAAAATACTTCACCAAATTTTGTAATGTAGTATGATATTACATGATATTGTATGCTGGATGAAGTTCTGAGCTCCATATACCCATAAAAAGGCTTAAATACCATACTGTATAGGAACAAACAGAAAATGGAAGTCATGTGCTTGTGTAAGACTTTCCTCATTAGTCTTATAATGCAAAGAATTAGAACAAGTAGTATACATATGTAAAATGCAGTAATGTAAACTGTTTTCCTAAATAGACAATGCTTGATTTTCAAGCTAGTTTATTGTTTCTTCAATTTCAAGTGACTGAAAGGGCTAAAATCCAGTGACAGATCATAGAATCATAGAATGGCCTGGGTTGAAAGAGACCTTAAAGATCATCTAGTTTCAACCCCCCTGCTCTGGGCAAGGTTGCCAACTGCTAGAGCAGGCTGCCCAGAGTCCCATCCAGCCTGACCTTGAATGCCTCCAAGGATGGGGCATCCACAACCTCTCTGGGCAACCTGTTCCAAACCTGTTCCAGTGCCTCACCACCCTCTGAGTGAAAAACTTTCTCCTAATTTCTAATGTAAATCTCCCCTGTCTTAGTATAAAATGATTCCCCCTTGTCCTATCACTATCAACACATAAACAGGCATTCGCCCTCCTGTTTATATGCTCACTTCAAGTACTGGAAGGCCGCAATGAGGTCTCCCCAGAGCCTTCTCTTTTCTAAGCTAAACAAGCCCAGTTTCCTCAACCCTTCTGCACAGGAGAGGTGCTCCAGTCTTCTGATCATCTTAGTGGCCCTCCTCTGAACCCATTCCAAGAGCTCCAGATATCCAACCAAGAACTCCTGCAGAGATTCCTTTTGCAGAAGACCATCCTGATGGACATGAGTAAGCTTTACTGACCAGCAGAGTCTTCTTCCCACTTTGTCTCTGGGGCTCAGTCCTGCTCTGCCTCACCCCAGCTTTCCTGCTCTGTGATTATACCTCCCCTGTGCAACTGAGATATTACAGCTGTGAGCTGGCTTGTTGGACCTTTCCCATGCAACAGGCTATTGTACAGCAGCACTCAGCACAGGACAGACTAGGATTCAGGTGGACCAAAGATATTCCCCACAAGCATTTCAGTTGCCTTTCTGCCTCATGATATAGCAGGTGATCAAATACACTTGCATTCAAGTAAGTTGGAAGATCTTAGATCAGAATTCAGACTTGCAGACTTCAGTTTTAACTCATAGGAATCTTTTTATCAAATTGCCTACCAGCACAAACACTAGCAACTAATATGCTCTGTCCAGACATGAGAAATTCAGAGATAAATTATGTCTCCCTTATGTCTCAAAATTACTACTTTCCCTCAAGGAGATGCTAATTTTTTGATCTTAAGATTCACAGTCCTGAAGATGTTATATATGTTTCACCACTCTAACAAACTTAAAAGTTGGTTCCTACCAAATAGCCCTTAGGAAAATAATGAGCAGCTCATAGATAGCTGTGCATGGGGCAGTAAGGACTGGGGATGAAAAAGTGTGCTTTCTCAAATGATATATATCACAACTCCCTTTTTATGAAGCAGGTACCTTTAGATAACCACTACATAAAAAAGCAATTGCACCTATTTTGAACTCAGTCAGCTGCAGCCAAGTAGGTTTACTTGATTTTACTGAATGAATAAATAAGCTCAAAACACTGCAAGTTCAAGAAAGATGAACAATGATGGGCATAAAATAATTTGAGAACAAAGGATGACCTCTTGAACACTTGCAGTTCAAGTTCAACACAATGCAGAAAGTTTCCTCTCTAATTACATACTCAAAAACAAGCATCTTTTGTGTGTGTGTGTTAACAATGATACTAGGTTTCATGGACCAACCACTGCATGAGAAAATCATTTTTAAGAGATAAATTGTTCTCAGCTCAAAGCCTGCAGCCTTGAATTAGAGCAGCTGTAAGATAGATGGGTCATTCTATTTTTATGACTAATATATCCTCAGAGCTGTGCACACATGGGGGACCTTATTAAAGTATCTTTGTTAGCATGTTTCAACTGGCTATATTAATTGCTATATATTGTGTAGAAGGTAGACAATGACCATAAGCTGAATCCACCTTACGGAAATGCCTGCATCATTTCTCACTAGTATCTTCTTTTTTTTTTCTTCCAGCTCAAGCAGTGCAACAGCCCTGCAAATGAGGAAAAAAGAACTCAGCAACTTGTGTTGACAGCCCTGAATAGTAGATCTGAGCTGCAGATCTCTGCAAGAAGCTGCCATATCTGACTCTGTGCTTCATCATCACCAAAACTGAAGCAATCTCAGCAACTTTTGATGACATGTATATTTGAACATGTTGTTTTTAAACAATTTTCATCACCAAATGATGTAGTGGCAATTCTTACACTGGGAATGTGTAGACACTATCATCATGATCTGCCAAGACATCTTTAGATATATCGTGTTTCCAGTCTGCTGGAGAAATGTGGCAAGGTTATTTGAGGGGTTGCTATATGTCACAACTTGAATGCTTCTTACTAGACCATCAATTCTATATATTTACGTTCAAGTGTGGCACTGGAATTTTTTTTTTTTTTTTTTTTTTGATACAGCACATCCTGAGCAACTCTTGTGTGTACATAAACTTTAATTTTTTCATTCTCAAATGTCTTTGTATTATGTAGTACTTGTTGAACCCTTCCACACAGTCAATTTGAAAAATTATACAAATTATTTAATATGAGGGAACAATTATATTTTTAATATTTAATTGCACATTAATCATACTACTAATTTGCAGGCTGATTCTGACCATTGTTTCTTTTTTGTTTGTTTTGTTTTGTTCTGTTTTCAGATCCTACTTAGATACTGTTATGCAGTATGTGACAAAAGCTCTGCTTTACCTTGGACTAGGACCTTCTTCCTGGTTTACAGTTCTGCAGTTGCCACTGGTTATTTATGAAACATGTCACTTTTGTCATGTAATATTCTGGGGTCTCAGAGTTTACTTATATAGCAGTCCCTGGGGAAATGACACGTAAATAAATTATCAATCAGGAAGTTTAGAATGGTATACCTCCATGGGGAGAAAGGGCTTTTAATATCATTTTTATGTATGTGTAACAAAAATGTCACTTTGAAAAGGGAGGTATTTTGCTAACAGACCATTACAAGTAACTAGTGCTCAGAATTTTTAAAGTAATGATTCAGGAAAGACTCCATTCAAATTCAGTAGAATCAATGTTAAAATGTCAGGAGAAAGCAAATGCAGACCATCTACAATGTGTTTAAAACAGCCCAACTCTTCCTACTAGTTGCAGCAAGTTCTTTCGATACGATAGGATACATCAGAAGCTGTAAGTTTTACTTTTCTTCAGTTGCAATGCTTGTTATAAATACTTTCAGAAGTTTAACACAGGATGCAGAAAGCAGCTTGATAAAACTCAGTATACTGAATAAAATAACTTGAATCATTTCTCCCACAACACAGGTCTTCTCTTTCCATAGATCTCTTAGCTTAAGCCTCTCCTTTTCTCACTGAAATGTATTTCAGAATGGTAAAAGTTTTCACATGCTGTCTTTGGAGGGGTATTTTTATTTAACTGTTTATTTATTTATTTAACTGTTCATTTATTTATTTACTTATTGTGGATTTGTGCATTTGGATACCTGGAGTGTTGAAAAGAAACACTTGTGAGAAGACATTGATATGTGAGAAGTAGAAGGTCCCTCTTTGTTTAATGAATATTTATTCTGAATTTAGGAAAATAATAACGAATAAAAGAAAGAAAGGGAAATCTGTGGGTGTTTTTGTTTGTTTTCTCTTTGTAGAAGTCTATAAGTAGTGTGGTTTTGATAATATATAAAGGTGTCTTTTTTCTTTCTTTTTTTTTTTTCTCGTCTATTCTATCAATTCAAGACAAAAATCATTTCTAAGCCTGCTCAGAAATTGAGAAATTGTGAATTGATTGCAGTAATTGATGCACTGATTAGAAACAACTTTCTGGAACATACCTCAATTGAGGTATGCTGTACAGTTTGGGACTGTTTGGGGACTGAAAGCCTCATAAAGAGGGAACTATGTTAGCTCTGCTTTATGGAGGAAAAGTGTCAAAATATAAGAAAAAAATCAACTCTTACAATATATTTTTATACCTGAAGACAAAATATATAATTGTATGTTCATAAATCTGACAATTTTACAGCACAAAATTGAAAATTTTAATTGTCAAATGTCTTAAACTCTAAAAATATCATCTTAATTTCTTGTGCAAGCAATCTTTTCTACTTATGTTAGATCTTTTCACTTATGCTTTTCACTTTCTTTTCTCTCTCTTTTTTTTTCTCTTTCATTTCCTCATAATATATTGTTAATGTGTCATTTTTCCATTGCCCTTAAAAACAAAAAACAAACAAACAAACAAAAAAAGAAACACACAAAACAACAAAAAAAAATGTTTTTTTTTTTTTGAGATTTTATGCATTCATCTGAGAAGACAGCTTTTTATGATAGTCATATCCTGATGCCATTAAAACATAGAAACATGGTAGAACAGTGCAGGGGGGCAAAGTAATACATACAACCAGTAAAAACAATTAAGATTTTTTTGCATAGAGAATATAATAGACATGTACTTTGTGGATGGGGTGAACCATTACCATTACCATTGAAGAGGACTTTACCAGGTTCAGACTCTGTCTTTTTCTGGTGTAGGCCAGAGTTTTGGGTCATCTCAGAAGAATGAATGTAGCAGGATAATGAGGAGAGAGGGATGGCAGGGGAGATTTTTCTTTTTCCCTTGAAGTTGGAGGGTGGAAGTTATACCTGTGCAGTAGCAGGTAAAACATATGAAGATTAAGAAGAAACTCCAGCACATGATGGTGTGGGAAGCAGTAGCTTCTTGATGGAGATGTGGAAATGGGTTTACAGCTTGTATCTCACAGGCTCTGTGTCCTGCCAGACATTGCCTTTTCTTCTCTCGTGCTGTAATGTTTCACAGCCTGGGAGGCATTAATGAGGGCAGACCCCTGCCTTCTGTGTCACCACTTAATCAAGCCCTGCAAGGGCAGGATTTGGAGCAGGGATTGTGCAGAAATGCTGTTTCACTGCTGGGGGAGAAAGAAAGAAAAAAAAAAAAAAAAAAAAAAACACAACTGTACATCTGCTGTTAAGGAGAAATTGGTCAGCTGAAATGAGGTCATGTAGCAGGCTGGTTCTCTTGACAATTTGCTGACTGCTTTTAGCTTTCATGCAGCAGTGACAGTAAAGCCTGACTGTTTTCAAAATATAGATTCAGAATAGAACCACAATAGGGTTTTCAGGACCAGGACCAGTAGAAAGGCAATAAAAGAACTGGATAGGGACTAGAGATGCACAATTATAGCCATAGATTAAACTGCAGTGAAGATCAGGGACTACTTCACAAAATAACACTGAGACAACACAGCTTCTCCCCTTTATATATATTACAATATGATATATGATACTTATATATGTACATTTTATATATATATATATATACACACATACACCTCAATTTTAATAACAGGTGGTGTTTTCAGAGCCCTCTATACATTTATCTCCTGAAAAGCCAGATGCAGAGGAGTATACATTTATCCTCCATTGGCTGTGGGAATAAAGGGCAAGCTAAGCCACTCAGGATGAAGAGGGCAAGGAAACACTGCCAGCCTCAAGACAGATGTCCACTGGGCTATAGCCACCTATGTTTGACCTTGGGAACCAGACAAAAATCTGCTATAGGACACAGAAAGTAACAGTTATGTTTGTTGTTGTTGTTGCTTAAATCTCATTTTCATTATACTCACAATACATTAAAAATCAGTATAAAAACTGGAGGAAACAGTGCAACAATGGAGAATTAGCAACTTGGCTACATGAAGGGTTACTGGTCCATTCAGGTTGTTAATAACTGAGAGACTGTGCATCTCCTGTTTGGAACTGCATCCGGATAAAACGCACAGGGAATTTAGGATATTTCTCCTCCTGTCCTGCCCAAAGGGAGCTTCAGTAAATTACAAATTGCCTCACAGCTGTGTTCTACAAGATATTTGTTTCATTCAGCTGTGTTAATGTCTCAGAACTATCGTCATGGGGCTAGGCTCACAAAATGCAGCATTGGATTGGCATTTAGCCTGCTGACTCTATGATTATTAATGTATTGGGATTTAAGTTCTAAGGGTACTTCTTCAACAAGACCCAGGCCTAAGGGCTGCTCCATTGCCTATATAGTATTCAAGAACAGTAGCACAATGTTGGAAGAGGCAATAAAACACCACTGCAGAAAACTTCTGTGACTTCATATTTTCTGGCAGAGAGGGAATAGCAAAGTAGGAGCTACTCATAGCAACATTTCTGTTGCAGCCAAGGGATTCTCTTATAGGAGAACAGTAAGACACAGGTCTGAGTTTCAACTGACTCACCTGGAAATTCAGTTAAGCACAGGACTAAATAAGTTGGGGCAGAGGGAGAGGAAGGAGGAAAGGTGAGCGAGTTAGGCCACTGATCTTAATAGCAGAAAAAGAGAAAAAAAAAATCTTCAAGCAGAAATTGGTACCAATATAGAAAAAGGTATGTAAATTTTGTATACAGAGTGGTGATATTGACAAGGAAGTCTTTTTCCTGGATGTCTTGTCTTGTCTGAAACATCAGGGAGACTCAGATAAAAGCTGTAGTTGCAAGGCTTGCTTGTATAGTTTTGAAACAATCAAATTTCTGTTCCCCCCCCCCCCCCCCCCCCAATCCCAATAGCCATAACAATATTACATGTGAAGTAAAATGGACATTTATTTTTGGTGGGTTAACAAGTCTGCAGCAAGCATAGATAGAGAACAGCTGTTGACAAGACTGGTGTGTGTGTTGATGTCTGTCATCTGATAAAGATGACAGATCTTTATTCAACGAATAGTTTAAGATGACACACACTAGAATTACATTGTTGGTTTTTTTCAAAAATCTGAACTGATATGGATTTCTGAGTTTGTTCTTATCAGCACTGTGTTATTTCAGTTTAGTTTTATGTGACAAAAAATGATGTTACCATTTTACGTATAGAACAATTATATATATAAATAATTTGGTTTGATTAAAGAATTGTAGAAGAGTTGTTTGTTTTAAAAATATTGTCTTGACTTTTGTTTACAAACAAACCATATTTAATATAATATGTTTAGAGTTCCTACTAAATTTACTTTTTCAGCCTCACAGAGTATTTTATATTTAATGGACTTTGTAAGATATTTTCTACATGGTTATTAACAATGTTCAAATGTTTTGTTCCTTTGCTATGTTTCACTCTGATTGACATTGTTAATGAGAAACGTGCATTTTAAAAATTATTTTCAGCTATTAAAGTAACATTTTTTTCCCCCTCAATAGGCTCATTAATGACACTTCCTACTTTGATTATAACAGTAATCTTAAGACAAAGTTTGCAAAGTCCACCTTTGTATTTCAGCCACTATATTCTATTGCCAGTTTGTTTTACACAAGCACAAGGAATTCAGGTTCAGTTGCAGTCAGTGTTTTGCAAAACAGACAACTGTCCCTGCTCTCAGTCTCATCACAGTAGGAATAAAAAGAAATTTTCAAGCAGCCCAGACATAGTGTGCCAAAGCAAGTGAATGTATTATATTATGCTTGACTGCAAAGTCTCCTTTTATTTAACCTGCAGAATTAAGTACATATTCTAATTGCTTCCTCTATCTCTCCTTCCTTTCCTTTCCCTTCCTCTTCTTTATCATTTTTCAGATGAAAAACTTACGGAAAAATATAATTTGGTAGAGTGATTTGAAATATTCAGTTATAGTGTTTCCCTAAGTAGTCAGGGCAAAATCAGACAAAAGAAACAGCTCCCTTCAGGAATAAGTGATGGCAACGACAAGACTGTAACCCCGAAATCTTCATTTGTAACTTTCTGATGCTTCACCTAAGGCTAAACCAAACTAAATGAAATATTGTGTTGTAAGTGCTTGGACAGGTCCATCTGCACCACTTCCTGTTTGAGGCAGGCCTGCAGAAGTCGTGGCTGGACAAAGCCAATGGCTGGGCAGGGCAGGGCCATGGGGAGCTGGAGCCCAGCCCTTCTGCAGCTTTGCTGGGGCAGGAGCTGACAGCATCAGGGCTGATTTGCCATCCTGAGCCTGGGAAGGGTTGAAGAATTTGAGGTAATGGGAGAGGAATGGTAAGGCCTGCAGTGCTCACAAAGTCCAAACAGTATCTTCCATTGCAATTTAGGCAGCTGTGTATTAAGTGTTATAGCTCTTGAAAGTTTGCATAGACCATTTTGATTCATCTTTCTCTGTTTTTCAAAAAGGTATCACACTATACTCTCATTTTAATATGGAGGACATAGAGGGAAGTACCTTTTTAAATTTAAACATGGGTCCTTTTTTGAAAAGTGGCCATTTCAGATATTTGGGTGGGACTTCAGATGTGGACGTTGGGTCCAGCCAGCTCCCATGTACCACAGTGGAAGGAAGCCCTTCTGCATCCACTCTACAAGGGGCATCAGAGACTTGAAGCCAATGGGATGAACCAACATTCATAGTAGAGCTCTTCTGGACATGGGAAAGTCATAATGCTGAACAACGGTCTGATTTTGTCAGTATAAAAATAGGTATCTGCAGGAAAAAAAAAAAAAAAAACGTAAAACTGATCATTTGATACCATAGGCTCCCTCATGCTGGTTAAACAAAATATAAACACTGATTAATAGCAAAAGCATCTCAGCATGTTACAGGACATGCACCAAAACCTGAGGTTTAGGTAAA